TTGTGATATTTCCCTTAGGTTATTTCTTTGTTCTTGCGGTAATGTTTGACTGGAGTTGACCTTCACATGTTGTTAGCCGAGATTCCCATGGAAACACAGAGTGATTAATTTGCAGTTTTATTTACACACACACCCAAGACTATAACCCTTTGGCATTTTTTATGCTTTAGGATATGCCAAACAGCAAAAAAAAAATATGTTAACATTGCAAATTTGGGGAACTACAAGCAGCCTATTTAGGGGATACAATGAGACAGTTGTTTGATGCGATGGCACTGACACCACTGGAATTCTTTGTTGTTAGAGCCAGTGGCATTTATACATAACAACAGGGCCCGGCATGGCCAGGTGGTTAAAACACTCGACTCGCAATCTGAGGGTCGCGGGTTCGAATCCCCGTCACACCAAACATGTTCGCCCTTTCAGCCGTGGGGACGTTATAATGTGACGGTCAGTCTCACTATTCGTTGGTAAAAGAGTAGCCCAAGAGTTGGCGGTGGGTGGTGATGACTAGCTGCCTTCCCTCTAGTCTTACACTGCTAAATTAGGGACGGCTAGCGCAGATAGTCCTCGTGTAGCTTTGCGCGAAATTCAAAACAAAACAAAACATAACAACAAGCAGCATCCAAATATTTAAACCTATTTGGCCACAAGGAGGTTTGAACAATACCAAGTAAGTGTGTATAACAAGCGAGTTCGCGTTTTACCCAAAATCAAGTTGTTGTTGTTTCCAAATTCACACTCTTTATGCATAGTGTTTGCAATGTTTTGTATCAAACTTCCCTTTGAATTACTTCTGGCTATTTTGCAAATATTAGAAACTGCTATTGATATAATGATATTCACTTGATCTTCCCAGCTTTTAACATTTTTAAAATCTTATTTTTCTTAGAAAGATCTCCCCCCCCCTTCCCCAGTGGTTCATATAACCATGGTGAGCACAGCGCAGATAGCCCATTTTGTTGCTTTGCGCTTGACAACAATTAAACAAACAAACAAACAAAGGAAAGAAAAAATACCAAAGGGGCAATAAAATGATATTATCATATTCTGTAAGAATCAGTGATAGGTTATGGCATGTCAGGTCTTTATTAACCCATTTTTAATTAAGTTACTTATGATTAGCATTTAGTATTTATTACATTTATTATTAGCACTAATGTTCAGTTTTCAATAGTTTGTTGCTTTAAGCTTGCCATGAGACACTGTAATTGCACTAGTCCGACATTTACCGAAATAAGGTGACATAGGTGTTATTATTATGTGATATTTCAGTGAATTGGAGTAAATAAGAATAGAGCAATAAAAATGGATTCACAGAAGAGAAAACCAGATTAACCAGTTAGCACACAGGATCACCTACAAAAGCTGTAATATTTTCAAAACGAGAATCCCGAAGAAGAATAATCAACTATTTGAAAGCTCTCGAGTTTTGGGTCTCGTTTTGAAAATATAGGGAAAAGGAGAGAATAGTGAAGTCTCAACTTTAGAGACAAAGAAGAGACAGATGTGCGTCCTTCACTATTCAGAATCAAACTGTGAATAATTCACGTTTTTATCCCTAGCAGAAGATCCAGATTACAGACTGAAGAAGTAAAACAGATACCAAGATTTGGTTCAGCACTTGCAAGTCTTGGATGTTCCTGGGAGGTGGCCTTTACTTGTGGTATTTATGATACGCCTCGATTCAACAAGTTGATGAATTGAGAATGCATATGATAAAAAAAGGTATGGTGTTGATGAGAGACTGAACCTCTTCTACAAAGTGGACATGGCCAATCTCCCCCTCTCCCTCCCTGTAGAAAGAGCCCTAAGCAGTACACAAAGAAGGTGAACTATCAGGTTGGCATATGGAGGAAAGCTCATATAGCCTTTCTTGATATTCTTACACCTACAGATGAACATGGCTAGACCATAAAGGATGGAGAGCTAGAACCAATGTGGATTGATGGTGACATTTTACCACAGCAACTGATAGATCCTTGAAGAGACTTATTAAACTGACACTTCAGGTAATGAGGGCTCAGGATTGTTTGAAGTCCCAAAGGATTATACATTTTCAGATGCAGATGGTTCAGATAGTTATTAGACAATAACTACAAGGCTCAAATAGTGATATGTCCCTGCTAAATATTTATGATTTTGTTTAATATGTATATCGATTGACTTACATAAAGTATGCGAAATACATTTATTGTGTGTAAAGAAGAGTTTACATTACCCACTGAAGCAGAACGTACATATTTATTTACACTAGCATTAGTAAATAAAAGTGCTGAGTTATATACATCCGTTTATAGTGGATATCTGAGTATGCATATTATAATTTTATTTTGTTAGAGTTGGTGACCAAATAATTAACATATTAATATGGCATTAAAAGATAGAGTAAAACGTGTTAGGTTTCTGGAATACAAATTGAATACAATTTTACCAATAGCAGTTCCCGAGACTTGCAAGAAACTTTCCAAGAAACTTTTCTGTAGCAGTAAAGTTTTGTAAATTTGTAGCATTTATGTCTAAAATGATGCAAAAACAAGCCAAATTATCAGTTTGATTTCAAGATCAACTGCAATGGTGTGAACAATTTCTTTTCATGGTACAATTCAAACTGGTTTTTCGCACCTTCAACCTTCTTTCATACATACTTCGATTCCTACACTGAGGTGAGTCGGCTTTCATCCTTCAAACCGCAGTAATTCGCTGTTAGTTAGATAATAACGTTTCTTCCGTTATTGTGTTTGTGAATTACCTGGTGTAAATCTCAGCTTACTAATATCACAAATGCGAGCCATTCTTATGTCGGCAATTATAATTGAATAGATTAAAACAAATACAGTAGAACTGATTAAAATCGGGACAAAAAAAAAAGGTGACGTTATTTTATTTGGCTTGCCACAGAACTTAAAATTGTTCCTCTATAAACCTGCACAAGAAATCAATGTATACTAGAAATTCTGAATTGAATAAGTATTTTTTTATTTCTTTATGTTAGACTATTTTGATGAAAATAACTATAAACACAAAAGACTTTATTGTGGTTCTTCTGCATATCTTTAATAGAAAGATTCTAAAGGCTGTACAGCAAGCACAATTGAGGGTATACATAGTCAAATAATCCTGATATGTATTTGAAACTATTCTCAAAGTACTTTTTTAAAATGTATAGTGTAATGATAACAACAGTTCTCTTATCTAAATAATAGACAGAAAATATCAACATATTTTTCTATCACAGCTATAAGTTAAAATGTTTACAATATTAAGTTTTACAAGTTTCCTAGGTCTGTTAAATACTCCACAATGTACTTTCTAAAGCTACGAAAATAAGCATTGTTTTTTTTCCATACTTTTATGAAGAATGATATAAAATATTATTTCTATTTTTTCTTAGATTTGAACATGCCACTTTACGAAACCAAATTTATGGTACAAAAAATCTCCTTTTATCTGATTTATTTTGTTTTGTTGCACATTGCTTGGTGCATCGTTTTTCGAAAATGATATTTATAATAATTTGATTTAAAAAAATCGAAGATGTGATTTTCATAGAAAGTTTACCATTAAAATCTTTCTAAACTTTCAGAACATGGAAGACTTATACAATATTGTTTAATGATACAGGCAATACATAAGCTTTTCTTTTAGATTAAAAAAACAAACAAATATAAAACCACAGTGACATTATACTGTTGAATTCTAATAATATATTAAAATTAGATATTGAATTTCAATTAGTTTACTTATAAAACAAACAGATCTTATTAAAGAAAGAAACAACTTTAGGTTGTATCTAATTCTCATATTAATATAAGATAAAAACATGAAAAGTTCATTATAGTGAAATCAAATCATGTATTATTCAATTTAAAACTAAAAGGCACATACAAATTACAAAAAAAATGCTACCATGGTAAAGCTGTTAACCTTAAAACGGTGGACTAGCTCATTAAATTATTATTATTAAAAAATAATTCGAAACGTTTATTAAACACAAATTATTTTAAACCGGTTTTCTTTCTCCACGAAACACATTTAAGAAATATTCTTCAATTCATTGTGTGCTTAATAACTCATTAAAAAAAATACATAATTCATTATACGTCTATATGCATTGTTTAGCAGACTGTAACTCTTACGATGGCCTCTTGTATCACATGAATAAATAATTCTTTGATCTAAATCTCCTCATAACAACGATTATTACTTTATTCTCAAGTCATAATAAAACCGTATCAAAACTTGCTAGAATTAAGCTAAATATCTTCATTAATAAGATGCCAAAATATAATGAAATGATTAAACATTAAATATAATTCGAAATAAGACATAATTGTGAGTTCTGAGTATAATTCTCTTTATTATATTTCAATGTTCGCAGTGTAGACTAGAGAATAAAACACACTTTAAAGAATGATAATGAATATGACTAGTTACCAGAAGATCTATTTTTAATCTCAACATTTCATTTTTCTGCTTTTTAAGAGGATAATCATAACAGTTACCTATCCTTTGTCAAAGCTGGTACAACGGAACGTTGAGATTAGATATATATATATATATATATATATTGATGCTTTTTAAAGTAATTAAGATTTTCTTTGATTTTTTGGGATATTTGACTATAATAAATCCTTCAAAAGGCGTGAGTTAGTTTCATTAAAATAACCGCTGTTTATAACTTATAGAAAAGGTACAATTAAAATTCGTTTCTTATTAATATTTTTTTCATTACAGAAGTACAAAGGTTTAGCCTTTCGATTATAGCATGTTTTCGGCCACAAACTGTATTGTAATAAACGAATTTCGTAACATTCACAGTAGTTTATTCAAAGCCCTTTTCTTGAAAAAAACAGCTATATAACTAGGACTCGGTTGAATTGTTATTTAGCCATCCTATACTAATTTTAAACAAGAAGGAATCCTCAATAGCCGCCCGTAGCACTTGAAATTCTTTTAGGCAGGACTAAATTAATCTATGAGACCTTTATTTCCTTTTTTATTAGCTATATTTTAGTGCACCAGCAATACCAAGCGTGGGGCGTGTATATACCCGATTCGATTTTATTACTCCTCAGGATCTCTACCAGCCCACTCTCAAATTGAGATTCTTTTGGCAGGATTAGAGGAAATTAATTTATGAGACCTTGGGCGTAGTCAAATATATCAATCGAAAGGGTTTGACTTCCTGAGTCCAAAACTCAAATCGGTCAAGAGATGACGGAGCTATGAGCTAAAAGACTGTACTTGAAAAACAAACAAACTCAGAGCCGTTCTATGAGCTGTTCAGTCGCGACTAATAAATCTCTAAGTCCTGGTCTGATTCACTCTTTAAAATACTGAAGCACAGCAGATTTCAGAAAGTTAAAAACACGACATCATCAGAAAAAGTAAGGCACAAAATTTATTCCTAACCCAATTTAAAATGACATATTTTATTCCTATTAATAAAAAATCATGTATATTAATGAGTATTATTTATTTGTGTTTTTCGTTTAAAATTTCGTTTGGGTAAAGTTTAACTTGTTCGATATGTAATAAAGAATACGCGAAGAATCACGTATAAACATACTTTTCACATAAAATATAATTCCACTTCATGATTGATATGTTTTAGTCTTAGAACTATATTTACATTTCTTATTACTAGAGGCCAACATGATACTAAAATGAATTTTAAACGTTATAAATTTTGATAAAAAATCATTTCTATAAAAATTGCCACAATTTTCACGAAAGAGCAGCACCATGTTTATCCCCCATTACACTGCAAGTAAATATCCTGTAAAAGCCCTAAATGTTGTAATAGATTTTTCATATAGTGTAATATTCTGTTAATACCACTTTCTACCAGATCTGAATGGCACAAAACTATACCCTGCAATAAAGCGTCTGAGATACATTAACTAAAACAATAAATAGTAACTGTCCTTGTTTTGAATGCTGTGAAATAACAACAGTTTTTATGGCTTTCAACTTAACTAAAGATGTCCGAAAAACATAAAACAATATCCTTCTATTCTATTTGTGGTTCTCCCTCTCTCTCTTTTTTATTATTGCTTAGTATATAATTAAGAAAACTCGTACTATATGTAGTTAATTTTAACTATTTCATACAAATGAATTTACGAGGCCTTTCCTTTCTTAAAAAATGCTATCCGTGAAATAAGATACATGGCTATGTATAACATTTTATATTCTCTTGTTAATCCAATGAGTCTTGACTTCTAAAAGCGTCTCCCCCTAAAAGTTGTTGAAATAATGAAGATTCTGGTTCCTTGGTTGTTCTCTCTGGACTTTGTGCCTTATAAAAAGCAGATAAACGATTTCGGCAATACCTTAAGAGTTCACAAGCAACGTCTCCGACACTCCATCGTCGCTGCTGAGCTAATCTATACACTTGTGCAATCTGCAAGGAAAGAGAGTAAATTGTCAGTAAACTGTAAAATAGTAGTTTTAAATTATATCAATTTAACTAATTGAACTGATCAAAATTACTATAAAAACTGTCGAAATATGGCTATTATGAATATTATCATTTGTTCGTAGAAATAGGATTAGAAACCTTGGGTGTTATAATTTTTCCCCACGTGTTAACCTGCACATTCTTACTTTTAAAACAAGGGGAATAAAGCATTATAATGTCGTTTTTTTTTTTTGCAATATTTGTCACGCATTCGAGCAAAATAAGCTATGTTTAAATTATATTATCCATAAACCCCAAAATAAATACATATATATAGTGCTTTAATTATTAGATCAATAATATTTAACTAACCTGGGCCAGCCGTGGTTCTCCATCTGTATATGCAATCAAAGAGGGTAGTCCTCCTCTACTTGCTGCCAGCCAAAGGATCATAATTTTCAACTGAGGATCTCCTCCCTTTTCTCCTATCCCCCACAGTCCAGTTGCTGCTGGGCGAACTCCTTCTGCTGTTGGCATTAGGAACCTTGATAAAGGCTATATATTTAAAGAGATAGAATAAGCATATTTTAAGATACTTTTTTACTCTGGCAAAAATCACAAGAAAAACTGTCAGACGAAAGAACAGAACGACTGTAAATTGAATGCCAAAGCAAGAACTTAATCGCCTGAGAACTCTTAGTTGATTTTGTTCCCCGGGCCAGGCATGGTTAGTAGTTAGCGTAAAAAGTACTGTGCATATGGGAGTTCATAATTCGCGACCTATTGTTGTATAAACGCTCTCCGTACTTTGGAGGCGTAGCTACGTTAAAATATTGAACATAAAGTTACACTTTTCGGTCAAACAAGAGTTGGCGGTGAATGATTTGACTATCTGCTTTCCCTACATTCTAACAGCTCCAAATTAGGGATGGCTTTGCGCTGAATAGCCCAAGTGTAGATTTGCGTGAAAATTCAAAAAAAAAAAGAATTATATTTTATTGTGAACACATAAAATCACTTGCAACTAAAGAGATTAACAAGAAAATTCTCTGGTCGATTAATTGAAGAATGATGATAAAAGAAATTAACAAGGTAATAATTCAGTATAAAAGTAGCGGAAGTAGGTATCTAGAAAAACAAAGATAATAAATCCGCTAAAGGATAAAGCGTTTGGTATTTCAAGCACAAAATCGCATCTGCCACGTCAAATGTATTTTTAACACAACGTAACTTTTGAATTGTGCCGTAAATTCAGTTGATACTTCGGATTATTTTTCAGCGAGTGTAATGTAGAATAAAAATAATTTGTCATGATAATAAATTCAATAAATTACAATTGTATATGACATAAACAATTTTGCAATTAAGGCTCCATTCAAAAATTATATTGTGCATTTCAGCGATATACAAATTTTGTATTAGTCTGGTTCTCTAGTAAGCTTGAGGATTTACAACGCTGAAATTCTGGTTGTGTAGCTTTACCCTCAAAACAACAGCACTAGACTGGTTCTTTTGAATTTCGCGCAAAACTACACGAAGGCTAGCCGTCCCTAATTTAGCAGCGTAAGATCAGAGAGAAGTCATCACCACCCACCGTCAACTCTTGGAATACGCTTTTACCAACAAATAGTGGGATTGACCATTACTTATATCACCCACACGGCTGAAAGGTAGAGCATGTTTGGTGTGACGGAGATTTGAACCCACAACCGGCAGATTGCGAGTCGAGCGCCCTAACCACCTGGCTACGCTGGGGCTAGCCTGATCGACTGAAGAGAAAGACTATTTATGAATTCTCCAATCTTTATTATAGAATTTTGTTTGTTTGTAATTAAGCACAAAGCCACACAAAGGGCTATCTGTATTCTGCCCACCGTGGGTATCGAAACCCGCTTTCTAGCGTTATAAGTCCGCAGACATACCACTGTGCCACTGGGGGGGCGGGGGATTATTAAATCCTATAGATTATTTAAATATATTTTATAATAGGCTTTGATAAGTTGTTTAGGCAGAGTATTCATAATGAATCTAAGTTTCAAATGGACAGCAACTGCATGTTGTAGAAACCTACAAATGTAGAGGACGACGTTTCGAAAGTCTTCCGCCTTTCGTCTTCAGGTCCTAAAGACGAAAGACTTTCGAAACGTCGTCCTCTACATCTGTAGGCTTCTACAACAGGCAGTTGCTGTCCATTTGAAACTTAGATTCATATTTTATAATAAATTACTTCACTTGGAAGTAAGTCGCCATTCATTAATACAAATCATAAATAAAGAAACTGGATTGTTTAACTTACTACGTTGTAAATATATTTGCAATTACAACTTATACTGACTAATTAAATTAATTTGAGAAAAATGCATTAATTTTAAAATTTGGCCTACAAAGGGGCAGTACTCTGGACAGGGAAACATACATATCTTCAACTCTTTCCTTTATCTACATATTTCTTTATGAAAAAATAAAGTTTATCGAACCATATTTACAAAATATCAAATATATGTTCATTCATTTTTACTGCTTAAAATACCAAATTAATGTAATTATTCATATTGCTTACACGCGATATCTAAGTTCAAAGATAATAGGGCCTGGTGGTTAGGGAGCTCGATTGGTAACCTGCGGGTTCGAATCCCCGTCCCATCAAATCTGCTCGTCCTTTCAGCCGTGGGAGCGTTATAATGTGTCGGTGAATCTCACTATTCGTTGGTAAAAGAGTAGCCCAAGAGTTGGCGGTGAGTGATGATGATGACTAGTTGTCTCCCTCTAGTCTTTCACTGCTAAGTTAGGGACGGCTAGCGCAGATAGCTCTTGTGTAGCTTTGCGCTAACTTAAAAAAAAAAGAAGAAAGACAATAGGATTAAGGTTTATTGCGTCATAATAAATCGTGTATTAGCTGCTTAATTTTTCGAGACATCGAGATATATGCAAAACATTTTTTTCGGTTAAGACTTTTATGATTTAGCAAGCTTAGCAGGAAAAACTTGAATAAAGCCATTTACATGTCTTTTGCACAAAAAAGGAAATATACACATACATTGCTTTATGTAATTCGTCACAAGGCACGTTTTAGATTTCATTTCAAATAAAAAAGATCAAAAATGTATTCTATACACTTTCATGGCGATATTTATCACTTAAAGTAATTAACTTTTAAAGTTTATTTTTGTAATGAATAAGAACTAGTTGTGAATGTGGCTAGGTAATTCTTTGTCCATAACACTTGACAAAAGATTTATGTTCCACATAATTCTCTTCGACTATATTTCCTTAATAATCTCTAAACATTTGCCAAACTAAGAAAACAGCACAGTTTTATTTTGTTTGTTGTTGATCACAAAGCTTCACAAAAGCTATCTCTGCTCTGTCTACCGCAAGTATCGAAACCCGAATTCTAGCGTTATAATCCTTCGGAGTTACCGTTGAGCCACCGGAAGGCACCAATTTTATACATGGTGCCAATTAAAAACTACAAGCTCCTATGAGTTCAAAATCTGAGAATAAATAAAGAGAGTTGTTTCTAAGCTGTTGCTTATATTTAAAGGGAAACTGAGGGTATTGTTAATTTTAAGTATTATGTTATATGAAATAACGAAAACAACTGACATTTCACTCTTTTTCTCTTTTTTTTTCTTTAAAACTATCCAAAACGTTTCGTGGAAAACAACTTTTTACAGTTTTCAACTTACGGCTTCTTTGTCTTCGAGATATTGCTCTTCAAAAGAAGTACTTTCAATGGAAGAACAGACACTAGAAGACCTCGAATCGGCTGATTCATCTTCACCACTGGCTAGATCTTCTTCAGAACTCCGCAAAGACGATTCTCCACTTCCACTATCTGCTGTTGCCCACCGCCAAAGGTAATCTTTATCAGATGAGTAAAAACGCTCCTTCCTACTCAATTCTTCGTTGGAACCCCTCCGGAGTCTAAATCGAGCCTTGAAGGGCACTGGAAGACAAGGATTCACACCATCATAAGAATAAGCCTTTAAGTTACCGTCTCCTGTGGTCATCATTAAGTTTCGTCCCCTCGAGGATGATTTAAGTGAATCTGGTGGGATCTGTAGTTTGGGAAATAACACCGATGATTCTGTAAGAGCAAATTTTAAGAGAGATGGCTCTGAGCTAGAAGGTCGAATTGGTAACGCAGAAAATGCAAAGAAGCCTAAATTGGGATCTTCCAATATGTCTTCCATATCGCTACTTCCGCTTGAACTTAACCTAGAACTGCGTGTACTACGGCGAGACAACCCTCGGTGGCGTCGACGTATTCTTTTTCGGAAGTCCTCGTAGCGTTCGTGTTGACTAAGGTTTTGAAGTAAATCTTCTTCACTACCATCTAAAACAAAACCAGTAGAGTCGTCTCTGGAAAATCGAACGTCCCCATCTTTGGAAGACCAATATGACAGGAGTGGTTTCGTGTTACTCTCCTGATGCTGCGGTCGAGCGTAAGAAAAACAGCTAGAATCTTGAAAATATGAAAATAACTTGTATATACATATCATAGTTAATATCATTACAGGTGTAAATATAGAAACTGGTTAACAAGTTGTATCGTTCAATATTAATTAACTGTAAAGTTCACTTGAGATCAAAGAAGGCGAATTTAATCAACATTGACATTACAGTAAAACATACATTAATTATTTAAACAAAGAAAAAAGAAGACTGTAGTTTCACATACAGAATTTCTGAAGCTATTTCCTAAGATTTCAGTTGTTTTGTTCAGAGTTCGGGTGTGATTAAAAAGATTAAAGTTTATAGAAGAAAATACGAGCATAATTTTGAGATTTGCTTTTAATAAATCTAGCTTTTATCTTTCTCAGCAGAATTGTAGTCACTATAGTTTGATATTTAGTCGAAACACCTAAAATTACTTGTCCTTTGTATTAGTAAAATAAAAGATTGAAGATAGTCTTTGAAAACCTCAGTCGTTTAAATATATATATATATATATGAATATTGTTTTACAAAAACTAAAACAAAAGAGGGGGAGTCATTAAATTGCGCCATTAATTGAATCATCATTGCATAGAGATATAATCTGGCTCAAGATTCAACGTTTATTTATATCTATGTATGATTTTGCTCAGTTATATTTATGTACATTCGTGTTTATATCATGTTTCTTTCTATTTTATTATTTTTTATCTAATTCTCACTTTTTAATATTCTGTTTTGTTTTCTTTAGCTTTATTTAAGCTGTTTATTTTAAGTCAAGCTTTTACAATTTACTGTCCTTACCATCTCTTATTCTGCCTGCCAAAATTTTTAATAAAATGCACCATTTCTTGCCAGATATCGTCTGAAAAAAATCCAAACAAGAACAAAACATATCCATTATATGTGGTTTTTTTGTTTATTAGAAGTTATATTTGAGTTGCACACCTGGTACTTCAAGTTTCTTCTGAGAAACTGGATAATCTCAATTATCTATCTGTTCAAATTAATAAAAATCTATCGGTAAGATAGTAAAAGTACATCCTAATGTAAAAAAAAAAAAGAGAATTTGACTTCAACTAACTCGGCGTTAGAGGACATCCATTTATTACACATTCATATGCTACAGTCGTCACCAAGATGTTCATAAAACTTTTTCATACACATATTCTATGTTAAAAATAAAAGTGTTTTGGATTATATTTATTTTACTATAATATCTAAACTATACCTTCATCAAAGCTTTCTTCTGCAGTAAAGTACTCTTCGTCTGCAGAAACCTGAGTCCGATATCCTCGTGGATTTGCCATACTGGTCTTTCCACTCCTTCTGTGAGAGCATTGGCGTTTTGTCAAGGCTGCATGAGCTGCTTTAGAAAGTATTTCCTCTGGATCTGAAAAATTAAGTGGTCTTTGAAAGGAAGATTGGATCATATCTTGCATATCATATTGACGATCACCAGCAGAAAGGTTTTGATTTGTTTCTCGTGAAACCGGGAGAGAAAGAGTAATATTCGATTGCTGAGTGTTTACTTTACTCTTGGGACTTTTAGCAGATTTTTTTTCGGATCGTTTTTTTTGTTTACAATATGGTAACGGTTGATCAGTTATTCGCCAATGACTTCCTGATTCAGCTGAATATCTTACTTTTTCGTGATCCGAGATGTCACTGATTACAGGAAACGTTGATGTGACTTCTGTAGCCTTTGGAAGTTTTACGGTTACTGCTTGGTCTATTTCACTAGATACGCTGTAAATTTTTGGTGTAGATGCTACAGCAGAAGGTTTTTTGCTCCTAAGAACATTTACAAGACCACTAATATCCTTCTGAGTCATTCCTCCGGATGACGTACTCTGCTTATTCTCTTGAAGAAGCAGTCCACGGTTATCAGAAATAGAAACATCCTTAACTTTAGTTGATTCAGGGGAACCTACAAACATCATGCAAGGAAAATTGTCTCTTTTTTCAACAGGTATTGGCTGACTAGTTACTTTTACTGTACTTCTATTTGTTTTTGATACTTGTAAATCTGATTTCTCTGGAAGATTTTTTTCTTCAGTAATTTCCTCTGATGGCAGAGAACAATAACTATACACAGGCCCACTATGTCTTTGGACTAGTTGCATTTCCTGGGCCGCTGTGCTTCTGATTCTCCGAGATACATTGTCTTGTTTAAATACTTCTGTTTCTTTCTTCTTAAGATCGCTACTTGTTAAGGTACATTGAGCATTGTTCTTTTTTGTAAGACTAATAGTGGTATTCTCGTCACTTTTGATTATTGGTTCCAAGTTTGAAGTTTTTCTTTGTTCTTTCTGTTTGACAAGACTCATAGCCAATGATCCAATATTTCCACAACTTCTACGTTCAGGTAGAATACTAACTGGGACATCTTGATGTTGTTTTTCTCGTGTGATTTGAATTTCATTAGGATAATTTTTATTACGAGCTTTTAAATTCTCCAAAACTGTATTTGGTTTAAATTCTATGTTATTATTTTCAGGCTGATCACATTTTGTGACAGAAGCTTTTGAGTCCTTAGTCATTCGATATTTTTCAGGATAAGAATATTCTAGTGTCCCAATAGGTTTCAGTCCAGAATAAGGTGGAGTACATTGTTTGGCATCGATCTTCGGAAGTTTTCCTCTTGAGGGAGACCGTTGAAATCCCATTTCGGAACTAATGGGATCCGATTTTTTCCTCAGACTAAACACCTGATGACGTGAAGAACCATGTGAGGAGTCTGTCAGTCCACTACTTTGACCAGAAGATCGTCGACTAGATGAAAGTGGCACATCTATGTCAGATTCTATAATCAGACTGCCAAATTCTGGACAAGTACTCGAACTTGAACTTTGACCAACAGGAGAGAGTCGACGTTGACTTTGTGGCTGCTTCAAGGACACTAAGGCCTTGTTTAATTCACGTAATAGAAACCTATCTTCATATTGGCAGAAAGGTTGGTTAGTAAAATCGTATGCATCCATTAGACAGAAATCGGCTTCCCGCAGAGACGATCCCTGTTGAAAATAAATAAAAGCGGTATATACAAAGTCTCTAAAGAAATTACAGAAAACGTGTCTACATAATCAAACTTACATCCGAGATTACATTTTCAGAACACCAGCAGTAAATGTTGTTTGTATAAAATAAAATATTGATTTTACATGGGATAATTCTAGGCAATGGTTTACTTTAGTGTTTCTCACACGATTAATTTCGTGCTAAGTACGTAGAATGTCTTCAAGCCATTACATGCAAACTTGCAGTCGTCATAAAAAAAAAGAATCAAAAGATAAGTTTGTAGATCCATTAAAAATTGAGTTTTTTTCTATATTATCACCAATAATATTAAATACAAAAGTTTTATCCACACACAAAACATTGTGGTAGAACACCCTTATGTAGTTGATACTCGTTTGATCTGAGTTTAGAACGATTCTTTGAAGTGTTGCTGATCTCACCAACCCATACATTTCAGTTTATTAATTTTGCAAAATTTTGATTACTTAGTTTCAACTTAAAAAAAAAACATTTCGAAATTATGTGCCTTTAACTGGTTCTCAACAATACACATAATTGAAACAATATATTAAAAACATAGAAGAACGTTAATAAAATACATTTCTCCCAGTTCTCATTAGATTTTGTCAATGTCAAAGCACAAATTCTCATACAAGATTGGACGTTATTTTTCAATTAAATACTCACCTTAATCACTAAACACCTTGATCTATTAACAATAAAGCAACCGAATATCTATTTTCAATATACGGACAAATAATATTTTCTGTACCAAGTTTTTAATTATTGTAACAATAATAATGAAAGTATATACAGCACAATCTAAGCATACAGTTTTATAGTTATTAGCGCTGATATTATCTAATGATTTTTAATCTATATAATTAGAAAAGTAACGTGTGTGCGTGCGTGTGTAGGAACCTTTTTAAACTTCATTAAACTACGCAAAAATGAAATATGGGCTAGGGAGGTATGGATTACACCACCATATTCGCAAGAGAGGGGTGGGTGTAGACAGTACTATGGATTGCAAAGAAAGAGGTATTTGGGGAATAGATCTGTCATTCCTCAGAACCCCATCTCAGAGAGCGATGTTTATGTGTTAGGGATTTGCGTGTGAATTTCTTCATTTGTTTATAGACATTTAGAGTACTGGTACCGTAACCCTGTTGAGTAGGGCCTTTGAAGCAATATCAATGAGTTTTAATACTTTCCACCGATACCCAGGTTTTGAAAGCGGCGCCAGATCTGGTATCTCTTACTTGATAATTCGATCGATTGCCATTTTTGATCAGACCATTCGACTCAAAGTGTCTTTGGTACTAGGGGTATTTGGTGGGTATCACGTGCTGTGGAACAGATTTTAACCCACTTAGGTTCAACCTTGAAGTCATTGAGACGACCCGCACGGCCATCAGATTCGTTCAGAACCTTAAATATATAACCTCTTACATGATTAGTCTAGGCAGGTCATTTAACTATTATAATTACTTTAGTTACACAGCTCTGCTTTTATATTTTATAAATTTTGTGCATTCAAATACAAAATACCACAAACAAAAAAGTTTCGTACCGGAAGCACGAGTTTTCCTCATAGTAACTATTAAAACAATAACGTAGACACATACTTTTGTTACAAGACTATCGTCACAAAATTTAGTGATGTCATCAGTTGTTCCCTCGAATAACTCAGTTTTGTGTTGACTGGGTGGGTTAGGAGAGTTTACAAGTATCATGCCAGGAAAACTGTCTTTTCATTCAACAAGTCTTGAATGATTAATTACTTTCTTTGAACTTATAATTGTTTTTGATATTTTTACACCTACAAGTCTTGAATGATTAATTACTTTCATTGAACTTATAATTGTTTTTGATATTTTTACACCTACAAGTCTTGAATGATTAATTACTTTCATTGAACTTATAATTGTTTTTGATATTTTTACACCTACTTTCTTTTGAGTATCTTTTCTATATGATCAATGAGCATGAGAAGACTCAAAAATTTGTTGGGATCATAATATAGTTCTCAGATGTATATTTATTAATCAAGAACACGTTGCATAACAGTCAACAATTAGTTTATCTCATACAAAAGGCTAAACAGCCACTATATTAAAATTATTTAAGTGATTGCTTGTTTATTAGAAGTTAAGCACAATGCTACAGAATGGGCTATCTGTGCTTTGCCCACCACTGGTATCGAAACCCAGTTTCTAGCGTTGTAAGTCCGCAGAAATACCGCTGTGCCACTGAGAGGGAGACTTAAGTGATTGCAATTAAATTTATTAAACACGTAAATGGCAGTATTGTCACAATTCTATAGCAACAAGTAGTTTGACCAGTCACACTTTCTATAGTCCTCATTATTGTGTTCAGCACAATACAGGCTAAAACCCCTGGCCATCTTGTTTGTTGAAATTCGGTTGAGATGTGATTATTTGTAAGTGCAATGGTACTTAAAATTTAATCCCTTATGGAAGGGTTACATTACAAGACTTTCTGAAGCGATGTTCTCTTACTTTCTGATTATAAAAACATGAAATGCACAAATTTTTAGCATTTCGCAAAAAACAATAGATGTAGTGTTGAAACGTATTGATTAAGCAAGGGGAAGACATGATTTCAGAAAATTAGACTACAACACGACTGGCTATCAATCGCACTACGGAAGTAGTTAAATAGCTTATCTCCAAATTTAACCCAGTGGTACAACGATTCATTGTAATTAAAATTGGAAAATCCCTTGTAAGATAATTCATATGGATTTAAATCTACGGAAACGTCATAAAACCAGTTTCCAGAAGCTTCTCCTAAAACAAGTAGTCCAGAAAGTGAAAGGGAAAGTCAACTGTCAAAAGTTTTATTATCACTTTCTAGAATGTGACAAGCGGAAGCATACTGTCATGTTGAATGAAACATAGGTATATTTAAATGTCCATAAGTACAAGATATATATGATAGTTTACAGTATCTAAAATTCTAGTTTTTAATAAACTTAAAAACAGCAGCATTATTTTAAATAATTAGGTCAAAACAAGATTATTAACTTTGGTACAATTAAAGAAAACACAACCAACATATCTATATAAGAATTTAATCTAGACAGTAAAAACTTAAAGCAGAAATTTCAACGTATTTCATAACCAGCTCGTCAATCAAAGTTAGGGCTGCTTGTGATTATCATTAGTGGTAGTTAAAAATAGAAGGCTTTCTCATTTTTTTTGTTCATTTTTTATAACGATCAAGAATAAGAAAGGTAGAGATACATTAATGGAATAAGGAATGGCGACTGCAATTGCTAATACCAGTTTGAAACTTTCCATATTTTTGTACTGTTCATTCAGTGGCCCGGCATGGCCACGTAGTTACGGCACTCGACTCGCAATCTGAGGGACCCAGGTTCGAATCCCCGTCACACCAAACATGCTCGCTCTTTCAGCCGTGGGGGTGTTATAATGTGACGGTCAATCCCACTATTCG